CAAACTCGTGATTGTCGGCAAAAGTCCGACTGGGCGAGTATAAATAACTCGAAGACAAACTCGTGATTGTCGGCAAAAGTCCGACTGGGCGAGTATAAATAACTCGAAGACCAAAACTCGTGATTGTCGGCAAAAGTCCGACTGGGCGAGTATAAATAACTCGAAGACCAAAACTCGTGATTGTCGGCAAAAGTCCGACTGGGCGAGTATAAATAACTCGAAGACCAAAACTCGTGATTGTCGGCAAAAGTCCGACTGGGCGAGTATAAATAACTCGAAGACCAAAACTCGTGATTGTCGGCAAAAGTCCGACTGGGCGAGTATAAATAACTCGAAGACAGTTTATATGGTTCAAGTCGATTCTTAACTTGATACACGTTATCCACCATCGTTAGTCAGAATTTTGACGATTCAAGACAGACAAGTCGAAATTTGGACGATCCGTTCATTCAGATGATGGCTCAGAACAAACTTCTTTCTTCAAATCCATATTCGAATCGGCATTTGACCGAATAGACGGTTGAGCTTCCTTTGGTTAACAAAAGAAATATTTTTTCAATATTTAAATTCGGCATATGGGCGATCATTTTGTTTAAGTTCTTTTCAATAACTTAGAATTTTTCTCAATATTTTAGTCGGCATTTGGACAATCACATTATATGATCAAAATTCGTTCCAACCTTAGAAATATTTTATTCGTATTATATGTTTAAGTTCTAATGTCATATAGATCAGAATTTTACCGAGTGGTTTCGCGAAGTATCATTTTTAACTTAGAAAATTTGCTAGCATGTCATATGGATCGGAATTTTACCGGTTAGATTTGTGAATTATCATTTCTCACTCAGAAATTTGCTAGCATGTTATATGGATCGGAATTTTACCGATTAGATTAGATCGGATTGGAATGATTTTTGAAAGTATGGAGATAAAATGTTTAATATTTTAAAAATATGATAGTGATTGTTCATTCGTAAGGTAATCCTCCCAAGTTAGATGACAGATTATGTTATGAGCTGAATGCTCGAGAAGACTAATGTTATTTAAGTTGCTTTATAATATTTTGTTTTACTTCAATAATGCTTGGCTTCTTTTGTTGGCTAGTTCTTGCTATAAAACCTTGTGATTGGTGTTTAAGAGTATGAATGATGGTATTCCAACCTTTTCTTTCTTAGCGTTCTCTTTGGGTAGCTTAAGTCAAAATAGTAGATACGTATCATTGGTGCTTTCATTGTTTCAACCTCCATGCCTCCTAGGGTTTTTAAAGATGTCAATCCCAAAATGGGTAAAGATTTAGATGATACTCTTCTAATGATAACTAATGAGATCATTGCATTACAATCACAAGGTAATCAACACACATTTATTCAAGAAACCTAACTCGAATCAATCACTTCCATTCTTGGGTTTTTAATGGACAAGATCTAGAAACCCCCATTCTTACACTTATCTCATACATCCTCCACTATATCCCTACCTCATGACCCATATATCTCCACCACACATCCTCTTTCCATTTTACCACAATTTTCCCAATCCCTAATCACCTCAAATTCTCTTTCTATAGTTCCCCCACTAACATGATTTCAACCAGTAACCAATCGTTATATTCCACATGCCCTATTTTCACCACCCCAATTATTACTAATTGCCTACTTCCTTTACCATTTAACCATATAGTCTTAATATTTCCATTCTTTCCCATTTCATCTTTTCATCAACCTTTTGGCTATGATCAAATCGATTCTCTAGCCTATATGACACACCCTAAGCTCCAATTATGTATTTTGAAGGGTTTGAATCTTTGGATTAGCTTTTTCAAGCTAATCAATTTTTTATGATGTATCATGTACCATGGGAACAATGAGTCTTAGTGGCAGCTTTCTATAAGAAAGGGGAGGTTCTCACCTGATTTAAATGGATGTTATCTAATAAACAATTGGGCAATTGAACTCACTTTAGCTTCTCACTAGATTTACATTTTGGTCCTTCCACATATGTAAATCATGAGGCAATTTTACTCGAATTACTCCATATATGCTTCGTTTTTTAGTATCAGGCTACATTGGAAAAGTTGTGTAATAAGATTTGTAGTATATGCCCCGCCATTATATTAAACTGTTTCATTTTTGGGTTAATTTCGACAATTCAAAATGAGATGGCTATCTTGAGACCACATTCAGTTATCCAAACAATTAGTTTGGCTAAATTAGTAGAAGCCATGTTGTAGGACTCTAAGCAACACTTCTACCATTTTAACCAGTACCCTCAATCCTACAATTCCAACCCTCATCCATAGTAATTCATTTGTTTCATCTCTTAAACTTACAACATCAAACACTACAACCTCCAACTCTACACTTATCGCTACATCCCTAACTATAAAAAAAATAACACCACAACAATTACAGGAGCCCCGTGCAACCAAATTGTGTTATAATTGTGATGAGAAATATGCTTTTGGTGATAAGTGCTCTAGCCTTTGGTTTTTATTACTCTTATCTGATGAAGACCTCTCTCCAACTTGGCCCTTATTGGTCATACTTCCCCACAAACATTGTCGTTCAAAGGTTGGATTAATGGGTTTCAAGTTCTGCTCCTCATTGATTTGGGTAGTTCACATAACATCATTCATCCTCGCATTGCTCAACACCTAAATCTACCTTTTACCTCCATAACACCTTTTCAAGTTATGGTTGACAATGGTGATTATATTGCATGCCATGATTATTGTCCTAAGGTTTCTATTTCCTTCCAAGAATATGTTTTCAATGTACCTTTATACTTGTTGCCTATTGAGGTTGCAAATTTTTTAGGGGTTGCATGGTTGTGTACATTAGGTACGATATAAGCAGATTTTTCTATTCCTTCCTTTACCTTCACTCATCAAGGGTCGACCATTACTATCATAGGAGATTCAATAACTCTAACACTAGTTACTTTCCATCAAATATGTCATTTTGTTCATCAAGATGATATTGCTTCTTGTCATTTATTTTCTATTACCATTATTGTTGAACCCTTTACTATATCCCTTCCGATCTTTTTACCTTCCACTCTTACTAATCCTCACCTTACACAATTAATCTCTAAAGTTGACCGTGTTTTTCAAAAACCTCATGGCCTACCCCATTCCCACCTACATGACCACCATATTCCTTTATTACCAAACACTATAATTAATGTCAAGCCCTACCGCTATCCTTACTCTCAAAAAGCCACTATGACCACTTTGATCACTAAAATGTTACAGGAAGGCATTATAAAGTCTAATAGTAACCCTTTATCTTCCTTGGTGCTATTGGTAAAAAAGAAAGACGGTTCTTGACATTTTTGTATGGAAGGAAGGAATTATAAAGTCTAACACTAACCCTACCATTGATGAATTGTTGGATGGAGTTGGAACTGTCCAAGTGTTCTCTAAGATTGATTTACATTTGGGTTACCATCAAATTTATGTTGTCCCTTTAGATACTTATAAAATAACTTTTTGGACATTTGATGCCCATCATGAATTTTTAGTTATGCCATTTGGTTTATTAAATGCTCCATCCATTGTCTATTCAACCATGAATGATTTGCCTAGACCTTATTTGAGAGAATTTTTCATACTTTTTTAATGATATTTTGATCTATATAAAATAATTCATGACCCATTTAGATCATTTAAGTTTGATTTTATAGCCACTATTAAATAACCAGTTTCATGCCAAGCATGCCAAATGTGTGTTTGGTGTTCCATCAGTGACATATCTAGGCCACATTATTTCAAGGCAGGGTGTTGCACCTAGCCTAGACAAGCTCACAACCACTTTGGACTAGCT